TTCTTTGTTACTACTGAAATAAAAATGTACTTCAATCATTTCTATAACAATGGCAAGGAGAAAAACTTCCAAGGCTAAGAGAAAAAAGTTGTTGTACTTAGCATTAGGCAATATGAATTCGTGATCATAGGCGTTACACTGTGGCGTATATTTTAGGAGCTTATCGACCGACAGGAACTAATCATTTCAATACAGTAAAGATGAATAGCGTAGAACTGATATGTTCCAGGCAAATATGAATATCTACTTGTCTTGATTTAATGTCAGCTGAAAGCATCCGGAAATGGTATCTGCAGGGATTGACTTCATTCACAAAGGAAATGGAAATCATTCTGTTGTTTTTTGTAATATTAGGGGACACGTGACCGAACCGGTAGTCAAATGGAACTACTAAATTCGAATACTGTGCTAATTATTTAGTGATATAAGGAAATTATTGGATAATTTTACTAGTGCAAGTCCCTTCTTTCTTAGCTGAAAGAACCAGAATCATTGAAGCTGTTATCTACTGTCAGTGACTGAGCTGCTTTAAGATAAGTTGTCCTACCTTTCTGATAGAAATTTGGTTACCTATGAAGCAATGGGAAATTCCAGCAGAATATATCTGTTGTAGTCGTTTATCTTGAGCCTACACTTGATCTCATCACAAAGATAAAACAATTGGCGAAATCAATGAGAACCAGACATCACACAAAATACCTCTCTTTCTAGTCTGGGATTACTGTGCAGCACTTAGGCATTACAAAATGACGAGTGAAGTAAACATCTGGCTTTTGTGAGTATTTATTGAGCTGGAAATGAATCAGTCATCATTTGAGAATTTTATGAGTTCACCAGATAAGTTTATCTCTATTAGATAATATTAGTGGTTATTTATTCCTAGTTACTATAGTAACTGGGCCCTTGGTTTCGTGCTCCGGTAGTTCAGTGATAGAATACTCACACACCACGCATGTGGCCCATGGTTCGATTCCCAACAGATTAACTGCTTGACCTAGATTAGTTGGTAGCAAGCCACGCTAAAGAAGATTGGCTATCAGGAGAGCAGCCATGTTCCGTAAAAAAATGAATACAGCTGCTTCTAGGAATTCAAAGCTGAAGCTCAAGTCCCTGTGTTCCGCATGAAATGGGGAAGGAATAAAATTAATGATAATGAGCTGACATTGGTTAGAGAACAGATTGGAAAACCTGGGAGTACTCGACAGCTGTTTCGTCCTAGTTTAGGACTCTTCATCAGTGCGCATCCATCGCCAAGGCTAGAACCCAGGACCTTCTGGTTACAAGGCGAGCTTGTAGACCAATGAGCCACTGGAATCCGATCCAATGGCCAGCCCATGAATTCAATTCACAACATAGCGCAACCACTGGCCAATGTATTTGGTGAGTATTTGTCCTCACACCCGACCTGCTGCACCCTACTGGTCACGACTTCTCACTAGAACCCCAGGTAACTACCTATAAACCAACACTTAAACATCGATGAGATGCTCACTAGCGACTGGCCTTATTCAGGTAGGTAGTTACCTGGGGTTCCAGTGGGAAGTCGTAACCAGCAGCAGATGCAGCAGGTCAGGTGTGAGGACAAATACTCGCCGAAGACATTGGCTAGCGGTTGCACTATATTGTAAATTCGCAGAAGTTATAATTCATGGACCATTGGACCGGATCCCTGTGGCTCAATGGTCCACAAGCTCGCCTTGTAACCAGAAGGTCCTGTGTTCTAGCCTTGGCGGTGGGTGCGCACTGATGAAGAGTCCTAAACTAGGACGGAGGAAACAGCTGTCGAGTACTCCCAGGTTTTCCAATCTGTTCTCTAACCAATATCAGCTCATGATGAAATCATGTAACCAATCAAATCCCGACAAACCAACACTTAAAAAATTAATGATAATTTATCCACACAAACCAACTACAATGACTATTTAGCCCATAGCTTTTAGTTAGAATTTCTAACATTCTTCATTTAGTTAATTCAACAGCGAAAAATGAATAAAAACCAAACTGATGTAGAACACTAATTCATGGTAAAATAAATATTCCAGCAGATATCAGTTTGTGATCAACATAACTTTGGAATGAGTTAGATTATCACAGATCTTGATTCCTCTAGGCTTCAGTTAAGTTGGAAATTCGTCATCTCAAAATTTTCATTCTACTAATTTGGAGAATAAAACAAATTTGAGATTGTTTTGATTAGAAAGAGACAGCTACTTATTACAGCTGAGTTTTTCAAATTTCTCAAACATGTTTCAATCAGTGCCCAAACTAATCCTCCAGTATTTTTACCCCTGTTAATTCAAAATGCTGAGAGAAAAATTTCAATCCCAGTTTACTCTGATTTATTGGTTACTTTTACTAGAGAATGTGACTATGTGACTAGTTCTGAATTTGATGGAATTTTAAAATCACTCGTTTGAAACATTTTTTGTCTTATTGATTTTCCACATGTTTTTCTTATTTATGCTTGATTGATGAGATGCAAGCCTACTCAATAAACTGGTTGTCTTTCATGTATAAGGAAAATATGACAGGGAAGGGAATAAAAATGTTCAAGTTATTCAATACAATAAACTCGCATGGATACTTTAGAAATTGAACAAAAAAGATTATTTTCCAGAGAAAAAGTGATTATATTATTGGAATCAACAAGAAAATGCCTGTCGTAAAAGGTTGAATCCTGGTTATGTCAACAGTACTACAAAATCAATTGGAACTCCTCTGGAGGGGTTCAACCCAACACACAGGTCAGACGCATAAAATCTCTTGTAATTGCTTCTGGTTCTACTTGAAAATGAACGTGGAGAAAGTTGCGAGCAAAGGGAGTGTTGAAAGTCAGATGAAATGATTTTTTTCCGATTTCTTGCATGACTTCAGATCTCTGTTAATTTTTTTTATATTTTTTTGATTACAGCTTGATTTCACACTGCATTTTTGGTACAAGTATGAAATTTTCAGCATGGATATCGGTAGCCCAAATTTCGCAGGCCGATCATTGGTATCAGGTGTGCATCGGCGGGGGATCGAACCTCGGACCATGTGCATAGTCGGCGAGAGTCCTAACCACTGTGCCACCGACGCACCAAGTCGGTGTAGTGGTACACTACTGACCTTACTAATAGTGTAACAAAGCCCTTTTTAAGTCTCTCAGGAAAGAATATAAGGGAGCAACAACAAGAATAGACACAAGAATTAATAAATTGTAAAACTAGAAACTGAGTTATGCTAGAATGTTTTAATCTCTGTGTTTTATTGTTAGATGAAGTTTATTCCTAGAAATTGCCAGAATGTGAGACGATTAGGAGAGACCAGTATCCTCTATGTTGCATGAATCGTGAAGACGAACCAGTTCATGTAAGTCTTGTTTATATACGAATATAAAGTTAACAGTCTTATATTTCAAAAGACTTAGTTTGAGACCACTTGACAAATACCACTGTCTAATTTCTGATGGAAAGCCACTGAGTTTTGAGCAATCTAATCGGATGGTAACATGTACGGAAACAGTCAGATAATCGCAATACTTGATGAGATTACTTCCATCAGAACAAAGCAAACTATGTGAGAAGAAATAAAAATGAAAAGGAGAAAGAACACCACCCCGAGAGAAACCGATTTCAGTAAGCAAATGACTGGAAGACTTTCCTATTCAGTCAGCATATGCTTTCTTCTCGAAAAACAAGAATACATCCAGTTACCAACTTGATGCTTAGTCTGTATCACAACAAGCCTTTGTAACAAGTGAGCCTAAGACATAGAGAACAAATCTGGCGCCTTAGTCCAAAGGGGAAACGATATTATGATGCGGAAGAGAGGCAAAATCTAAACCGCTTCTAATAAATTTGTGATAAAATTATTTTGTATTAATTTCTGAGATAAAGTGAAATTTTTTAAAGGGGCTGAGGTGGTGGTGATTAATCTGAACTGTGCATCTAATTCAGTAGCTGACTTAGCTGTGAATGAAATCTTGATATTTTTTAAGCGGCAGGCACAACATTTTTGACAAATGATGCATTCGAAATACGGGTCAGATGATGACATAATATGTCCGCACATTTTCTGTGAATAATACTTGGTATGTCATCTGGACCTAGGCTGTGGGAAAAATTCAAGGACTGAAGGTATTTGTGTTAGAACATTAGAAAGCATAACATCTTCTGGACGGCATATGAAACACTTGTTAACGACACAAATACTACAAGAACAGAAAGAGTTACCATTAATATGCTATTCACCAGTGACTTCCTTATATAATTTCCACATATCTAAAGAGTTTTGACACTGTATACACTTCTGGTTATATATCATATTTAGCTTGAATATTTCAGGCTTCACTAAAATAATTTCAGTTTTTGCATATGAGAGTTATCCTTCACCTTATATAACCTTTCATTTTCTTTGCGGTGTTTGAATTGGAGAGAAAAAGGGTCATGGCTGTCTTGGGTAACAAATGTCAAGACAAAACTTGGGAAAAAAGTATTTGATTGGTAATACATTCATCTAGCACTTTTTCAGTAAACTTAATTTCTGTAGTCAAAACTCCTGTATTTACTGCATAATGATTTCCTCCTATCTTCAATAATGGCAGTTAAAATCTTTATTACCAACACATTAGGTGTATTATCGTCCTTCGGTGGCATAGCGATTAGGACGGTCGCCGACCATGCACATGGTCCGGAGTTCGATCCCCGGCCGACGCACTCCTTTACCTCGCTAAGCCAGAAATAATTCTGGTAAAGAGGAAAGGTTGGGCATGGGCTAGCAGCCTCATCCTGTAAAATAAACACTACTACAGAAACTTCAAGCCACTAGCTTGAAGCCGTTTGTTCCACTGGGCAACGTGAAGGAAAAAAAGTGTTTGACTCATCCACAGATACAGACAAATTTGGTCATATAAAATGGTGTGTTTCATTTGAAAGAATTGTACAAAATTAACAAAAACAAAACAAAGAAAACAGAGTTTATAATATTTTACAAAATTTACATGAATTAATCCCACTTACTGGTGTAGGCAGCATTCTAGTTGTACTTGTTAGGCGTGATCTGGATAAAACGTTTCCAACTGGTGAAATTCTCCGTCTACCGGCTCTTTCATTCATTGTAAGATGATAAGTTGAATCTGGATCATTTACGTGAACTTGTACAAAATGTGGATTATTGATTGTACTGGTTTCTTCGAAGGGAACTCTTGTTCTACGTGAGTATAAAAGCATGGTTCTGTGTAGAATTAAAAAAAACAAACAAAAAAAGTGAACAAGCTAAGTTTGTTTGTTTTTCAAATTTGGACATAAAAGCTATGGAGTATGGAGTAACATACTGATGTAAAACGTCTTTTAGTGTTGAAGAATCCTCATTTAGTGCCTTTCGTTTATCAAAAGTTTTTATAGTTTAGCGATCAGGTTGGAATGGATAAGTCGGGGTTTTCCATCCAAATCGCTAAGGCCTCAGTAATGCAGAATATACGTGCAAATGCACAATGTTTCTGAAAGGCCCCCTTTGATTTGATACATAACTCTGAATAAATTCTCTTTGAATACTGGTCGACCAGCTGGAGTATCTTGGCATCAATATGCAAGGAGAATTGATTTAAGTTAACTATAAAATGAATGGGTAAAAATATTCAGTCTCCCGGATAAATGACAGTAGCGAAATTTGTATCCATTTGTTTGATTTACTGCATGAATGCAGAATGTTCTAACTTCTGTTCGGAATCACCACAAAAATAACTTTTCCATTAACCTAAATTTTCTATCTTATAATGAATCTAGATGTGCAAGGGTTTATCTCCGCATTGTTCACCTAGCTCATATTTCAATCTGTAAAAGAAGCAGTGTATTGTTATTATATTACATTATTATTGTTGCTTTGGATTCCCAGTGGAACATATGGCATCAGCAGAACATCTCCACTTTGTTCTATTACCCATGATTGCCCATCGTCTCTCATCTTCTCCTCACACCATCTCCATGTCATCCTCAGTCGCTAAAATCATCATATACCATCCGGGTTCCATTCTAGCACCTGGAGTGTGATGTCTCCTCAGCGTATGGGAAATCGCTTTCCATTTTCCTCTGCATATTTGTTGAGTGATAGGTTGTTGGTTGGTTCTTTCACTGAGGTTTTATCTGAAAATCATTTCCAGCTGTTCGATCTTCAGTATGAAGCCAGCGAAGGAAGCTGTTGATAAAAGTCTACAATCGCCTGTTGAAAATGCTTTTTATGACACAAGCGCCAAGTTTTGGACCCATATAGAAGAAGTGATTGAATTTACATTTGTGTTGAAAATCCAAATCTTCTTGATTATGTTGAGTGCAATGGAGAAAATTTCGAAACCAATTTCAGATTGATGAAGGTGTGCCTTGCCTTTCCTATTCTGGTTTTGACATCCCCAGACTTGCTGTCCGTCTGTAGTTGAAACGACGGTTCCTAGATAAGCCACGGAAGTGGTCTTTTTCAAACAAAGCCTGTTGATTATAATGATACTGGTTGTTGGTGGTTAGTTATCTTCATCCCCTCAATCTTCTCTATGCTCATTTGAAGTCATGCCTTTGCTGCATCTCTACCGACTGGTTGATATCTCATAGAGGTCTTCAAGTTTGTGTTATAAAGAGATATAAATTATCCACGCACGAAATCCAGATCTTCCAGTGTCTTTTGATCTTCACTCCAGGTATTCCTGTCTTGTCACTCCCATTCAAAGTCTGACGCATAATATAGTTCACCACAAATAGGAATATCATCGGTGACTACAGGCAGTCTTGCCCAAACTAATCCTGTATTCATTTCAAAGGCTTCATTGAGTCTTCCTTTGTGGATCACCATTCAGTCAGCTGTTGAAAAAGGTTCATAAAGATTTGGGACACTGCACACCATAGTGCTGAAGCTGTTTCCAAATTACTTCTCAGTCAACACTGTCAAAGTCATTTTCGAAGTCGATGAAGTTGAGGTAGAGAGAGGTTTGACTGTCGTTGTATGCTTAAAGTTGCAATGTGATCGGCACATAATTCGTTTATCCTGAGTCCAGTTTGTTCTGGGCGGTTGAGCGGAGTTTTGCGTTCACTGCACATTTTATTCTCTCCAGGATGATGCGACTAAGTATTTTACTTGGCGTGAACAAGAGCTTTATTCAATGCCAGTTCCTGCAGAGAGGTAAGTTGCTCTTCTTTGGCGGTATGATAAGGTAGCCAGCCTTTCTTCCAATTAGCAGGTATCTTTCTTTCCTTCCAAACCTTTTGAGATAATGGCGTGAGCACATCTGCCACAGTCTCTCGATCCGTTTTCAGTGTTTCGGGGGAATTCCATATGGGTCTGCTGCTATCCCGGCAGGACCTCAGTAGCCTGATCGAATTCAAGACTAGTTTTTTTGTCGGAGGATTGGTGTCCAGTGGCAGGTAGTTCTGTATGTTGTTGGTGGGGGTATTTCTGAGTGAGTTGCAGGTGATTGTTAATTCAAGAGTCTTTTGAAGTGATTAGCCCATTATTTTATTTGTTTCTCTCCTTTGGTGATCCGGTTCCCTAAACATCTTTTATTGGTTTCATCATCTGGATTGATCGCTTTCCGGATAGAGGCCTGGCTACCTGATGTAATGTCCTGAGGTCCCTTTTATCTGAGGCCTAATTGTTCTGCTTCAGTTGCCAAACAGTGTGTCTTAGAATTATCTTTTGTCCTTCCTAGCACTCTTCTTCACTTCTTTGTTCAGTGCAAAGTAAACTGAACTCAGCTTCGTCTTCTGTTGTCCATGTCTGCATTGAGTCATCTCCGCTTTCACCATCCTTCTCTTCCCTCCTCGACTAGCATCCAGGTATTCGTTAAGAGCTATTCCTTGTCTTGTCTCTTCTTTCTACCTAGGATAGCTGTAAACGCTTCCTTGAATACCACCTTCAAGGGTTCCAATGTCTTTTCGTGCAGGTTTTCTCAGTGATGCCACTCAGTGTCTCCTACTTTGCTCTGATCATATCATATCATACCTATCCCTTGTGATTTTGTCTTTCATTCTCTGAATGTTGAACTTTAATTACCGTGGTCTATTTCCATTCGTTTTCAGGGATGTCAGCTTGACCCTGAAGGTCCCGTGAACTGGATAGTGGTCTGAGCCCACATCTGCTCCCCTTCTCGACTTTGTGTCCAGCAGGTTGAGTCTCCATTTCCTTGAAATTGAGATTAAGTCTATCTGGTCCGTCGGACAAAATCCATTTTGTCTTGTGCATATCATTTTATTTGTACATGCTACATCCAATCACCGAATCATCGAAGATGCAGAAGTGTGGAAAAACCTCGCCGTTATCATTCCTTTCGCCAAGCAAGTGTCTTTCAACACATGATGAGTTCTCTACCTATATTATCTGCTCCTAGTTTGACATCCATAACGCCCATGAGGATTTTGATGTTACCATTTGAGATGTCATCTATTACTGATTGTACTTGTCTTTATAAATTACTCCTTCTTCTCTCGTTCCGCGTTATTTGTAGCACTTTGCGTAGCATTCGATAATTGTAACCTTCCTTCCTTTTCAATTGAATCATGCTGTCATAATCCTGGAGCAAATTGGTTTCCGCTGCACTAGGGCTTCGACTGCTGTTGGTGGAATCATGATTGTCACTCATTGCCTCAGTGTGCTTGTGGTTGTCGTCCGGGTGACCGGAGTAGACTACCGACTCTCCAGTTGACAGTTCTAATACTCCACATCCATCCCATCTACTTTCGCAAAATCTTAGCACTTCTATATCAGATCATCTCATTTCTTTGGCTACCTTGGCAGCTTTCTAAGTTTCGTACATTGTAAGTACATTCCACGTTCCCATTCTTATTGTGCTTTCGTCAGTGGAAGACACATTGGCTGACTGTTTTTCGGAAGTCTTTCGCCAGCGCGCATCATTTCGCCCCTCCAATTCCGGCGAAGAGAAATTTTGGTTTCTATATTTTTCTTCTTCTTGGAACTTTCTGTTGAAATTGTGTATGGTCACTAAACGCATGTGTTTTTCTCTTTCGTTCTCAGCGGAAGATAGGGCTTCAAACTAGAGGCTTAAAGTCTCGGTAGTAGTGGTGTTTATTTTTACTGGATGAGGTTCCTAGCCTCATGCCCAACCTTCCCTCTTTACCAGTCTTATCACTGGCTTAGCGTAGTAAAGGAGTAAGTCAGTCGGATCGGAATCTAGACCGTATGTGTGTTGGACGAGCATTCTATCGTCGTGCCACCGCCGCTAGACTCATGCTTGATATACTCTTTTCCCAGACTTTGTACTGGCTATAAAACTAGTGAGCCAATCAACAAGACCCAAAAATGAAGAAGAAATACTGTTTTTTCTATTCCAGTGATTGACGCGAGTTGTCGGAAACTATCAGTTTTAGTCATTATTGCCTTATGATATCATAGGTAGGTTAAACTATGGCTATTCTGAGTTTACATTCATAACCGGTTTCGTTAAAATCATCGATGTGTATGAATTACTTTTATGGCTTATATGGGTTTTGTAGTTTAAACATGCCTGTTTCATAAACAACTGTTTTACCACTGTAACAGTTCCTCAAATCGATGTTAAGTTGCATTTCAGGACTTCGATGCCAATGGCAAGGCTCACTGCAGTCTTCTGTAGTCTCTAAAGCTAAACTTATGAGTTATTTGCTTGTATTACACGACTAATACTTGATCGATATATTTTGAAGTAAGCAAATTTATAGATAAAGTGGTATCTGTTTGAAAGTGGGCAGCAGCGGACTTCGGCACTCCTGTTTTGTCCTTTTCGGGCCTCATCACTGGAAACATGACCGAACAGTCCGTAATAAGAGCGATTATTTTAATAAAACTCAAGCGTTTGTAATTAGTGAAATCAATGAAAATAATTTCAATAACCAATCTCATAGATAGTCTGTTCAAGCGGAGTAAAATCAAAAAAACTGTTTGAAAGTGATAATGATAAGAATTAGGGTAGAAAATCGAAGGTTTTAGATTCAGAGGTAAATCATATGTTGTAATTTAGAGATATCTCGGATCAGTACACTTCAATTTATGGATATTTTATTTAACAAGTCTGACGATCATACAAACGACATCTACTTGGCGGATCTTGTCAACTGTTATGGATTATGTTGAACTTGGATGTAAGGTTTCTCATAGTACTCCTTATGAATAAGTATTAAACAATGTTTTCCTCATTTTTCTCCCTTCAGTAGAGTATTCTCAAGTTTTGGGATGTACTACTGTTTCCGCAGGTAAAT